AAATAAAATTCAAACACACCCAAGACTCAAGATTAAAGCCCCCCTGAGCAATAAACACCACATGCAAATATTAAAAAAACAAGGTAAAAATGAGAGAACTGAAGATTTAGCCCACGTGCTACTAATGATAATTTAAAAATTTTCTTCACTCTCTTGTACCCACGTTACTTCTCTCTGGTTTCGTTGATGCCCCCACTTTGGAGTTTTCTCTATCCTTTTTTTACGTTTCTTTTTACTATTAGGCCTGTTCGTTTGTTTTCTAAAAACCAAGAAATGGAAATGGAAATGGTGAAAATATCAAAACTCACCATTTCCTCCATTTCCATCCCTAAAACTCACTCACAACATCCAATAAAATATTATTTCCATCCAACAACTCATCCACATCATCTAATAAAATATGATTTTCATCTAACCACTCATCCATCACATCTAATAAAATATTATTTTCATCTAACAACTCATCCATCACATCTAATAAAATATTATTTTCATCCAAACATCACTCAACTCATCTCTTCTCATCATTTCAAATCACTCACATCATCCAATAAAATATTATAACAATTCACCTCATCTCATTAACATTTCATTTCTTCATTTTCATCCCAAAAAGTGAAAACAATTTTCTTAATCTTTCTTCACATCACCCAATAATACAATGACAACTCATCTCATCTCATTTCATTTCTTATTTTTAAGAATGAACCGAACAAAAGAAAACAAGAAACTACAGGAAATAGGTTTCTTATAATTCATTTCCTTATTTTTTCGCCAACCGAACACTCCAAAACTAGTTTTCTTAAAAAATCACAAACATCATCCAATAATAAGGTGACAACTAACATCATTTCAATTTCATTTCTTTGATTTCCTTCTTTTTTAGCCAACCAAACACTCCAAAAACAATTCTTCATTTTAATAGTTTTTCATTTCTTTGATTTCCCTCTTTTTTTTTAGGCAAACGAACAGGCCCTTATTAAATATATAAATCACTTTGGAGTTTACCTCCGCTATCATTGGCCCTTTTCAATTTGATATACAACTTGCAAGCAAAGAACTCACTCTGTGGGAGGAATCTTTGCACTCTTGATTCCTTTTCCAACTAAATTTTCAGATGAATTTAATCCGATTATATGACAAAGATAGTTGCCTTTTTCAGTAAACTATCATAAGCTTTGTTTATTTTAATTAATTACCATTAACTTTATTATCGTCCTTTAATTAATAATGCTTTTTTAAAGCGGTCATAATACTTGCACTTGATGTAGTAGCAAAATTATTACGTCCGATCTGTCTTCTTCCATTTCTTAACTTGTCAAATAATTTTAACCCTCTAGTAAAAGTGCACTCGCTCCCAACTATTACAAACTTGGCAACTCAATTTACATTTTCTAAAATCTCAAACTAGATCATTAAGGGCGCGTTTGTTTCTTTCTTTTGGGAGGAGAAACCCGGCCACAATTCTGACTTACCTTTCAAGCGAAAACGCCTCAAACAAAAGTCAGAATCGTGACATGGTTTCCCCTCCTAAAAACTCAAAACAAACATGCCCTAAGTATGACCGTATTTTGAAAGAATTCGAGCTCATGCATGATTGTCGAAATCATGGTTGTGGGTTTTAATTTGAGAGATTTGTTTGACACGACAGTCTATGATAATTAACTAAAATAACAGAATCCGTATATATAGTTTCTTGAGAAAAAACATGAAAGTCTTAATTTGACCTCTTTTTTTTCCCCCACTCCGGTTTTCAAAATTTAGCTTAATTTTAAGCGGTGATGATAATGATAATATGGCGATGGATCAGTTGAGTGTAGATCTTACCATAAAGCCGTGGCAATCACATTTAATTTGATGAGAACTACACGCACACAAGAATGATGTACGCATGAATCTCACGACAGCTGAGGTATTTGTTGTGTTCCATCGCCTTTTTGGATTTTGGGGGTGGATGCATCCCCCCTCAACGTGTTCCTATCTGTTTTAATTTAAGAAAATGAAGGAGAGCCACTATGATGCAAGTGGAGCAACAACAACAACAACAACTAGCAAAGGATCAATGATTATATTTATGCAGTCGCTTGTTATTAAAAATTTTAATGTCGAAAATGACAAATGTTGGCGCATAGTGCTGCATTTGTCAGCAAGTGGCTGCGCTGTAGGTAGAGGAGGAAAGGAGTTTAGGCTGAAAAAACAACAAGAAGAAGGATATATATGTTCATTACTTCATTAATAGTAGAGGGGTGAATAAATAATTACTGAGGATAACCCCATTTATCCTTGACAAGAATGATTTTTTGTATAGTTATTTAGTGGATAGAAATAAAAGTTTTTAATTTTTGTAATCTAACGAATTTATCCATTATCCTTATGAAAGAAAAAAATAATATTAGCATTGTATAGTACCAATTGCTCATAAATTCCCATTGAAACATTCTAAATACTAACATAACCACTTACGTTTTATACTAGAGTGGTGATAATTAGACTGTACTTCTCGAATTACTTTAAAATTGCTACACTAAAAGACAATGTGGTTCTTATCAACTCTGATGTCAATTCAAGTGGAAGGATCTCACATTTTTTGTGAGTAGTAATGGAGTAATTTGGAGAGTATAGTATGTAGAAACGGCGAAAATATTGGAGAAGTACAAGATTTTTGGAGCAGACAGAGTTTTGGGTGTTTGTCGGTCGACCGCAAGCTTTGGAGCGGTCGACCGGAAATGTGCACAGCCTCAGGGAGTTTTATGGACTTGGTGACGGCCGACAACGACGATTTTGGCGGTCGACCGCCAAACCCTGTAATCGATATTGGGTTTCTGTCTTTCTGGTCAGTCGACCGCAACGATTTCTGTGGTCGGTCGCCAGTCGGGTTGGGCCCAGATTTGGTTTTCCTGTTCTGTTTGGGATTAGTGTTTGGTATAAGTACAAACATGTTTTAGGGTTTCTGCGGAGCAGTAGAAAGGGTTGTTTTGAGCACAGAAAAGGGAGTTTTTTCTGAGCTATTGGTTTAGGGTTTTGTTTGAGAGATTAGAGAGATTTGTTTGAGAGATTTTGTAATCTCTATTTGTACTCTCTTCTCTATTAGTGAAAACCTATCTCCTTCTTGCCCCGTGGACGTAGGCAACTTTCCGAACCACGTAAAATTCGTTTGTTTTTGTTTGTGGTATTGTTTTGATCTTGTGTGTCCTCTCGGCGTTTGCGTGGATTTCCTCGGACCCCAACAAGTGGTATCAGAGCACAACATAGTCTAGCTAAAACTGTCCTTTATCATACTAGCATTTTGCCCGTCGCGAACACTAAAGTTATAACTTTGGAGCTATGAGGTTGTTTCTGATGTTAATTTGTTAGAAATCTAGGAGAATTTATTCTAAATAACCAGAGGGTACATTAAATTACCCATGGATAAAAGTAAATAGCCAAATTGTAAAGATTTGGGTCTGTTGGGCCTATTTTACTTAGTGGCTAAAGTGAGGCCCAAAAGCGTTAGGGTCCAGCCCCAGACACCAGAATCCAAAGCAAGTTGCCCAGTAACTGTAAACAGGATTAAGGGGGGTAAAGAATAAAAGAAAATGGCCCTGGGCCAACAAATTCTCGGAGACGAAAGAAGAAGGCTAAAGAGTTGCGAAGAGAGAAAGCTTTACTAAATTCTAGGTATAATTGTCTAATTATTTCTCTGAATCCGTACTTTCTCTTTCTCTCTCTTTTTTTTTTTTGCTCTTTTTGGAATCTTTTTCTTATATGTTAACTGATTCGAGCTAGTTTATATTATTGTAATTGTGGTGCTACATAGTTGAAGCTCGGAGTTGTTACTCCTGTGTGAGAATTTTATTTTGGTTTTCAGAGTGATCTAGGGTTTGAGATACAATGTTCATTTTTTCATATTTAAAGTTATTTGAAAATGTCAATGAATCTCCAGTGGAAAGTATAGGAAATGGGCAAATAATTTGCTTGATGAATGTGAGGATCAACAATGGGGTTTTCGAACCCCTTTCAAATTTCTATAGTAGGCCTGGTTATTGTTGATCTTCAGCAAGTATGGTTTTATCTGTTTAAAGAATGTTGAAATGCTGGGAATTTTATGCACTTGAACATATTTGTAAGACTATTGATATATTAAAATGCACAAAGGAATAAATAACCCACATTATAAGAGGAAATAAGAACTTAAGTCGCCGTTAACAACCGACATTATAGGAGGAAATAAGAAGTTTAGACCTCAGCTGGAAGTTAGAAGGTACATATTAAAGGAAAGAAACATGACATGCTTTGATGATCACATGCTAAGTTCATAAGCGATCGAAATATCCAATATGCTAAAAGCACCAGACGGATAGATGTAGGCGATTTCATTTGAGAAGTATGTAAGAGACCTCAATCTGTTCATTCGGAACCATATCCTAAAATGTCCCCCTCTGAAAACCCTGTGCTGAAATATCAAATTCTTTTAAGGAATCATGAATCATAAAGCCAGGATCAACCTCATCATTGTCCTCAATTAGCTTCTCAAGAGTTGAAGAAATATCTGTAGGCCCTTTTGCTGGTAATGATGATATTGCCTCACTTGAGCTTGCGCCTACATTCATGCACAAATCACTGTTCCGCATTGGCATGACATTTTGATTTATAACATGACCACAAGAAGTGTTCGAACCACCGGACAAACCTTGTTGTTGACAAGAAAACCCCAGACAATCAATTAATTCACTTATCGGCTCTTCAGTTCCATTCTGCAGCCCAGGTTGGATAAAAGTATTAGGATTCATATCTCCATTTGCTTGCAAAATGTTAACTTGATTAGCCCACTGCAAATTGGTCGGCACTGGCATGGGCTTTGTGCTATTTGTAAAAGATGGTTGGAGCTCGGTAAGCAGACAATCCCTACCTTCTCCGGGACGAGAAAGTCTTAATCTTTTGCTGGGTTCACTTATAGCTCCATTTTGTTGTCCTGGCTGGCTCATAATATTAAGATGTTGTAGAAACATCTCCAACATTGACACCGTCTCTTTTTGGTTCTCTTCCATTTCTTGCACCTTCTTCGTCATGTTGCACAATTCCTTGTCGGTCTTGATTTGGTTTTGTATCACTGTTTGTAGATTGTGAATGAGCAAATTCTGGATTTTCTTCAGCTGTGCAATTTCCTGTAGAAGAACAGAATTTTGGAGTTCAGCGTTAGAACTTGTTCCTCTTGCTTGGTTTTGGTGCTGAGGATCAGTAGCGTCCTTTCCCGAAATTTTCCTGGCAATTTTTTCCAAGAGATTCTTCTGACCCCTTCTAAATGCATCATGAGCGTATTCCACTCCCTTAGTGTTGTGAACCCGAAGAAATCCCTGATTAGAAATAAGTGAGATAACTTTGTGCCATAGAATAATACAACTTGTTTGTATCTACACTTGCAACCAAATGAGGATGAAAAAATGAATCCAGTGACTGTATTAGCAATGTGAATTGTTTGATATTTGACTGAAGATTTTTGTGCATTAAAACTGTTAATGAAATTGATCATAGCAAATGTAAAGAGTTCTCATAGTGAACCCCATATGCTGCATTGATTGCTAGTTGCTAATACCCATCTAGGGTCCTCAGTTATTCTTAAGCTAATTGAAAACGTGTAAAGGATAGCAAATAAATCCATCTGAAGGGTTCATTGGAATAACAGCTGAACAATAATGCAAACAGCTCTGTAGGACAGATAGCATCACAGAATCATCTTAGCTGGAGTTTAGATGCTGTATTAAGGGGAAGAAGCTACAAAAATCGTGTCTATATTGTAATTTTGCCATACTGTTATCTGAAATCTCATAGCATATATTTCGAACATGTTCGCTAATACCATTTAGAAATCCAGATATACAAGATGTATAATTGTTTGCATGCTAGATAATTGTTTGGAGCACTTAAGGCTTGCCAATCGTTTTAAATCTAGTGAACATTCATAATGAGTTGGTTTCCTGTTTATCTCCTTATTTTTGTACATTCTTGGGGCTAGATGCTTCAGGTCATAAGCAGCTCTTTTAAGGCCCTACTTTTAGCATAATTGATAATTAATAGCAGCGATGATTCGTGTGACATCTCTCTCCTATGTCCTACCACAGATCTTTTGGTGGTGTGTGAAAGTCCATTGGCAGAAGAGGTAGATTCTCTTTATTGGAGAAGATGAGACGTATGACAGTCACCAAGATTCCCTCTGATCAGGTATAGTTTTGAATCCCTAACTAGCTATTCACTTCTCATTTTGCTTGTGTGACATCCTATGTGGCCATAATTGGAAATACCATGAGAAAGTTACTTTTGTCGCATAACTTTTAAAGATGATCTAAACGTGGTTCCTAATATCTATTGGGTCAAGGCAAATGTTCCTCTGCTTTCCTATTTTTCTCGGGTTACTTGTGCATATCTCTACATAGAAACATGGTTTTGTTAGCTTTCTAAGAGGCTTCTCAGTGCTTCTCGAAAGATGGTGGTGACAATTGTCTAGATAGTCTATAGACATGAAATTTTGCCCTTTATGCAGCTACTGGATTCTTCAAACTAATGAGTTATTCCCCTGCACTTTTGATCCATATCTCTCTTCTAGTGATCTGAAGATCTTAACTGACTCATCGTAGCACTTATATTGCCTTCCACACTTCCAGCATCAGCATAATTCTAGTCCTGGTATTAAGACATCTCTTACATCCAGTTTTCTAATCACAACAACACCTATGACAACATAAAGTTCTCCTTAAATAATATTTTCATTTGAAGTTATAGATAGGTTAGATACATATCCAGTAATTTTAAAATATTATACTTATTCTATACCCACGCATGTAGGCACACGAGATTTAACTTTTATCAGGAGAAAAATGAAATCTCTTGAAGCTTATGTTTCTTTGTCCTGAAGTTTATGCTTCTTTCTTCTTAATGATCAACATAATTCCACTTTCTCCAACATTGGTATCTAGCAACTTACATACCACATACACCTTGTAGCAGCTTAAGTCCTTGGAAACATCTCCTATCAAGCAAATGGGTGAACATAAGATTAACCCCAGACCTCTCTCTTCAGAGCTCCCAGTGTGTTTAATCATCTATTGACAATGAGGTTGTATCCTCATCATTTGATTTTGGAACTTAGTTGAACTATTCCAGATACTAAGCTCTTTATTGTATTTCAGTTTTGAAAAATTCTAAGTTAACAGTTTGGATCACTAGTTTGATTTCAAGTACCTAATCTCCAAAAAATGCTAGTCCTGTAACAAGTCTACAAAAACTCTGGCTCTGTGACCAGGTAATATTACTGTAGAGTCTAGAAATGAGCCTGATAACTTAGTTTTACTTTCAAAAGGAAATGAGGACTGCAAAGGTGGGGAGTCTTAAAGAAGTCTTCTGATTATTTCATCAATCCTGGGGGTGGGAATGCCTTAACTAAATAGTGTAGATTTTTTTTAAGATTGGCATTATTGAAAGACCACTGGAAGACCTATACCTTTCACATCCTAGAGTATTATCTTTGTTCATGCTAGCATCGCTGCCATCACCTACAGCAGATCTTTACAGAGAAAGGCACATGTATCTGACCAACACAAATGAAGATATCATTTTCTAGGTTCACATATCGGAGATTAGCTTTGTCCATTGATCAACCCGTATAGTAAAATTATCACTAAATATGGTGTTACTGAATGGATGGTTTGACATAGGAATCATACCCTTGTAGAATAGTAGGATACATATCCAGTACTTGGGTATCCTAGACAAGTTGACAACACATTGTAGATATTTCCGAGACTTAAACTAACAATAGAATGTGTGAAATATACAATTAACAATTTTTCATGATTTGTAGATGCATTGTATTTATATAATTATTACAGTTAAGCAATCTTGGATAAGGAATAAAATAATTCATGTACATTCTTTTTTTTACAGCAGATTATTCACATAATTTCTGCTTTATGTAAATTGAATTATTATATTTGAAATATCTTGCAAGCTTGAACTTTCAAGCTTAAAAAATTCTACAAGTATTGAAAAATACACATATAGAGACACAAACACACTGACGCGCCCATTGCAATTTTATATGAGTTTTGCTATGGTCATACCATGTACGTGTATTAGTTATTCCATGTCATATAGCAGACAGCCACCTTATCCTATCCTTACTTCAATAAAATGTCTAGTAAGCAATAAGTGATTGTTGAAGGAAAAACAAACGAATAGCAAAGCAGAAGGTCTCAGAGATGAATAAAGGGATTGTAGATGCTCTGATGAAATTAAAAAAAAGGAAAATAAATCTTAGAGGAACTCTACCATCCCAAGCACATGAAAAATCTTGGCCCCACCATCGTAGAATCTACACACATTGGAACAACATAAAAAATTCATCAAACATCTGAAGTTATACAAACTAATTGGCTGACGACACATTGAACCCGACTATGTATCAGATTCTTGTTCTATAGAAAAACACATAGAAAACGATAATATAATGGCATGCCACTTCAAATTAGGCACATGATTTTTGGGAGAAAATGTTGTATGTCGAGATGTTACTCAAAGACAAATCCTCTCTATGGCTGCCAATGATATGCAACACCAAACTATTTTCATTAGGCAAGTATATTAGCCCCGGGGAATGAGTAACTTGAAGAAAGATGGTTTTGATTCAGTGGAAAATGATGTATTGATTATCTTGTAAATTACAGAAAATGTAGAGATGGATCATTGAGGCAGAAACGTGTTAGCCTAGACCCTAGAGTTTGATGAGGGATGCTTTGTATCTAAATCTTAAAGTAGGTTCTTTTTTTGTGATAAGTTGGTCAATCTAGCCAAATAAATCAGACTCGCATCCAAGCTATAGGGGAAATATGGAACAACATTTTTTTAAATTTCTTTTTGTTGCATTGCCAGATGATTATGCTTCGGATAATGTTCCAGAGGTTTATTCTTTCCTATCCTCTCTTTTAGTGGCAGAAAATAGAATATAACAATGGATAAAAACAATAAGATGTCCACCTTCATCACCATCCCAACCAATTGTCATTGGCTAATGGTTCCAGAGTACGTTCATATTGGTCAGTATACACTAACCTTTAAAGCATTACATGTGAAAGCTAAAGGGGCATAACTATCATACACATGGAAGAAGTAATGTGATGTTAAATTTCATCAAGAGTCAAGTAGTGGTCAATTCATCATGGGAAAGTAATAGCGTCTTCGACTTAGAGTTGTAAGTTTATAAAATTGCATAAAGCCAAATGGCTTGCTTAAGTCATCAATATTCTTTTTCGCAAAAATCCTTGAGGAAGAAACCTAAAGATTGGCCATATTTATCAGTTTTTCTTATGAAATCAATTGAAGGTTGGATTTAGATATCCATCTCAAAGTGAAAGGTAACCCAAACCTAAATATAAAGTATGAGCATAATGAAATAGATTCACCAAGGTAGAAAGTTACCTTGAAATGGTAAACCCATCAGATCCAACTTCAGATTTTTTTTTATCACAGCCCATTAATTATATGCTACCTAATCGTTTGGCACAAGATGACACTACAAGGAAATTAAATGGCCTATTTATGGATTATATTCATCATTTTATCAGAGTTAGTGAAGAAAGTGAGTATCTAAAAGAAGAAGAATTAAGTAAAGAGGGAAATTGGAATTGGATGGTTACAATTAATATTGGCATCAACATATTACCTTTCAGAAATGAAATAATTAAAGATATGTTTCTATACAAAATAAGCAACATTCTAGACTTTGCCAAACTAGGTAATTATCTAAAAGAGTCATACTTATAATTTGGATTTAAGAAATAACTTCTGGTAGAGCATGAAACTAATTTGCTAGCATTTGGCTAGGCTAGCTATAATTTTGTATTACTAACAAGTATTGGTGAAATAGCACACACGGACGAACAGACAAAATCACACAATTTTTGAAAATAGGCTATTGCAAAACAAAATACATGATAAGAAAGATATTTTGTACATGTAAAAACTAAATTGAAAAAGCTACTTTGTAGTGGAAACATAATCAAACAAAAAAAAAGTTCATTCAGATTTAATCTGATAACTTGGCACGCCTCTTCCGAACTCCAATTTCTTACTTCCACTAGAATGAAGAAGTGAGACAAGAAGCTGCCACTGTTTAGCTAATTTATGCAAGAAAATTTCCCCATAATTTTATGCACCCATCGAAACATCATAAGCTATACAAATCGAACTGATAAATTTCAAAAGGTAAAAAAGGATAGGGGAAAGAAAATAGGACTCACATAAGTATTTAGCTGTCGAACAAAGCTTCCTAACTTGCTATGTTTGAAGTATCTAGGGAGTATATCACGCTCAAAGGCATATTCATCCCAAATCACAAAGCTATCATTTTCGTCACCCCAGGATACTATCTCATCTGTCATAGGATCGTCTACCAGATCATAACACTTCTTCAAGAATGGTTTTGCTGATGGCTGGGGAGCACTCATGCTAGTCGCACTCTCATTTTCCATTTCTCGAGGATAACTACAAGAATGGAGTTGAGAAGGGGAGGCGATGAAATTGATGAAAAGGAAGAACCCTAACCCTAAGTCAAATTTTATATATAAAAGGAAGGGAGAATATATTTAGAATAAGGAGTTTAGGGGGGGATGAATTCAGAAGCTTCGTGCTCGGTCTGTCAGTCATGTTAATAAATGTATGTTCCCGAGATATGTTTGCGGAGGAAACTATGTGGACCGTAATGTATAACCTCTGATATTATAGAACATCTCATCTTTATATTACAAATTCGTATAACATTTGGGTGTTTCACTAACTAGGGAAAAATATCAAAATTAAGAGATTCAAGTTAATTTAATGTGCGAACGTTTATGAGACATTCTCCAGACGTTATGTGTTCAGTATACACTGAGCCTAAGATTAGGATTTGTTTAAGTTTTCAATTTATTAGAAAGTTCACTAATGCATGTAGTAAAATTTATCAAAAGAATTGATATTGGTACCGTTATATGATATTGAAGGTCTTTAATATTAGATTATAGATTAAGGCATTATGTACATTTTATTAATTTCGATATGCTACTATATATGGCGTATAAGGTTAATTCTCAAATAGGGCTTCATGAAGGCTTGGGTTAGATTAGGGCCGGAACTGGGTTTGAGGGTGGTTTCAACATATTCATATCTCATCTTATGAGGTTAGGCCTGGGATTAGGTTCATCAGGTCTATAACCAACCAGAAAATGTATTAAATTATGGTACCAGTTTAGATGTTTAGGCATACGAAAACCCGATACACAGCTATGTTTTAAAGGTGTCTTTAAAAATATGGATACTCAAAAATTAATTTAGGGAATTATCCACAGTTTGAACATTGAAATATTCCAGATGGAGATGTTGATATTGAAATGGAAAGGTGATATGATCTTGACATTGATAGCATTACCTGATTGCAGACTCAAATGTCCAAGTAGCCAAACTAATGACTCTAGCATGTCTAAAACTGAAATAACTTAAAAACAAAGTGGCTGCTAGTTCTGGTTCTATCCATTCAAGAATGAAAAGATTAATTGTATTGGTTGCTTCTAAACCATAGGAAAATTTTGATAGTTAAAGGCTAGGTAGAATATCCGCAGTTTGATATTCACTCCATCCTACTCATAATGTTGTTGGTATCATCAACCATGCCCTTTGGAATAGGTTCAGCCACCTTGATATCGTCAAAATGTTACTTGAGAGATAACACTGTCTTTTATTTGGCTGTTAAATCTATCGTCAACCCCATATGATTTGGTGTGAAAGAGGGCAATGCAACTTCAAAGGGAGTACATGCCTTTTTCTCATGTATTAAACTCTGCAACTAAGGACCAGGCAGCAAAATTTCACTTGACGAGCTATTGAGATGAAAATGTGTACACTATATGGAAAAATAAGCAAAATCAAATTGTATTCTTATACAACTTTGATCAATTTGTCTCCCAGGTAGTTATGATTTAGCAATTGAGAATGCAGTTATATTTGCAAGTAAGAACTCCTACCATCATGGACCCTTCTGAAACTTGATGTAGCGCTGCTATTCTACGATAATGGTCCTAAATTACTCTCTTTGTAGATGCCTTCTTAGGATTTCTTCTTCTTCGTTTATTATTTATTTATTTATTATTCTTATAGTGCTCGTATTTCTTATGTAAATGCATAATATCTGTTTAGTAGTTTCATGTATTGGTGCTGGACTAACTATATGTCATTTTAACAACAAATTAGACACCCCTGAAGTGTCATTTTTAGAAGGATAAATCACAAGAACACCTCTCTCGCTCATAAATTTAGGGTTGTTAAGTGCTAACAAATAAGTTGATGTTGTATGTGCTACTGAAGGTTTATATGAGGGTGTTATCTGCAATTTTCCCCATCTAGTTTGTCTTTTCTTTATCATTGTCCTGTTGACTGTTGTTCGTAAGGAACTCTATATGTGTTACCAATTTACAGTTTTTTTGTTGATAAATAGAGATGCTGCAGACATTACCGTGTATCTTGAGAAGAAAATTCGTGTCACCTCTGACCCCCAGTTTGTTTGTGCACAACATTCTGGTAAGAATCAATACTCATTGGCCTTCTATTTGCAGTTATAGATGATTATGTTTATTATTTTTTTTTCCTAAGAGCCTGCTTTTATAAAAACAAATGCTCCAGATATGCTTCTCTCTCTTGATTTTCATCCTGGCAACCGTGAATTAAAAACGTACATGACTTGCACTTTGAAATTTTGTAGTCCCTTTGAAGGTCAGTTGAAGATTGCAGGTACTCCATCGATTTTAATCATCTGAAGAAAGTTCATCATTGTGGTACAAGGTTTTCTGTCTATGCACCACCGAGTGCCGAACTGTAGTTTGTGATAGCGTCGAAGGAAATGTAAATGATGATCCCTTGTTTGAGTGATGTAGGTTGTGCCTGATCTTGATCATTGATATTCAGAAATTAGTATTGACGAAAGCCTGTGTGTATTTTGACTGCTATCTGATTTATGTGGATGCTTTCGGGGCGGTTTAAGGATAATACAGAAGGATTAACCTTACTCTTTTGTTTCAATCACTGAAGCTTCATTCAAGTAAAATGCAGTTTGAGAAACTTGTTTACAAGGATTTTGTTATTGTAAAGAAGCTCGATTTGGATCATTTCCCCTGCCAGAGAAGCATTGGAGAAACTGGTCGCAATCACAAAGGTTTATTGTTTAATTGACAGTTGCAGTTGATTGAACATATTAGCAGTTATCATTTAAATCTTATGCCTTGTAAATCAGAGTCATCAACTATACATTGAATGATTAATTCTTAATTAACGATATGTAAATACACGAGACTACTGGTCCTTTATATTTTAAAGATTACACTTTATAAAACCGACATCTTTTCAGCCGACCGTGCGGTAAAATTGATGTGCGATTTATACGAGATTACTGGTCCCTTATATTTTAAAGATTACACTTTATAAAACCGACATCTTCTCGGCCGACCGTACGGTAAAATTGATGTGCTGATTATTTCATAACCGTACGATAAAATTTAGCTGCTGATTATTTCATAAAATGGTTGATTTTGCTAATATTTTTTTCAAGGACCGGTCTCTTTTAAATAAATTCTCCAAGGTGAAATTAGTGGGTAGTTTAAGAAAAAGAAGCGGT